TAAGGTTGATGAAGAGAGTTTTCGAGAATCCATGTGCACCAACCAATTTAACTTGATGAGTTTGACAAGTACCATTGAGATGAGCACCATCATCATGAAGTTGAGTTCCTGAAACATCTGGTGCATCTCTTACTGGCTTAGTCTTAAGTCCGAATTCCGAAATGGCTTCATCAACACATTCTTCTGCCATTTGACGATATGTCGTCCATTTACCACCTGCACAAGTCAAGAGACCTGATGGTGAGATATTGATAAGATGATTTCTAACAAGGGATTCCGTGTTTTTCGCATTTGGATCTTTAACCAAAGGACGAATACCTGACCAAGCAGCTAGAACATCACCTCTCCTAACATTGATATCTGGAGCAAGGTATCTTCGAATTTCCGAAAGAATCCAATCGATTTCCTCTTCTGATGCAACTGGGTTATATGAGATTTTAGTAGGAGAATCTGTTGTACCAGCGATTGTGTTTCCTTGCCATGGAAGGAAGAAAATAACTCTGCCATCTGAAGTTTTAGGATCAATAAGACCCATCGTTTGAGGACTGTAATAACCGGGAAGAATAACGTGAACACCTGAACTTGGTGCTACAATTTCCTTAACGGCTTCATCATCCATCTTTCTGATCGAATCGCAGAAAGGACCTGTTGCGTTGATAACGCCTTTTGCTCTGATTTTGAATTCCTTTGATGTTTTTCCATCCTTCTCATCTATCAAATCTCTAACGGTTGCACCGCATAATTTTCCGTTGGCGTCCTTTTCCAATCCAGTGACTTCGAGATGATTTACCACGGTACCTCCATATAACGCAGCAGTCATAGCCAACGAGACATTCATTCTCGAATCGTTATGAGCACCATCGTAATAAACCAAAGCTCCGACCAAATTATCTTTCTTCAACATAGGGAAAGCATCGAGAGCCTTACTCCTCGTCAGAAAATAACTCGTCTCGATACCCTCACTTCCAGCCAAGAAATCATACGCCTTTGTACCTGCCCAATAATAAGGTGCCTTCCACCATTTATCCAAAGGCAACATAATCGGTAACCAACTCGACAAATGTGGTGCGGTATCCAAAAAGTATTTTCGTTCCCTCAATGCCTCCTTGACCAACGCGTATTGATTATAATCCAATTCCCAGACTGCCTTCTCTAAATATCGCACACCTCCATGTACCAATTTTGTACTTTTGGAACTTGTGCCACTGCTAAAATCGTCTCTCTCGACCACTGCCACTTTCAATCCGCGAGTGGCTGCATCGAGTGCTACGCCTGCACCTGTGGCCCCGGCCCCTATGACCAATAAATCATATACATCGTCTTCGTTCTGCGGCACACTTATGGAACCTTGCGATCCTCCACTTCTCTTCAAATCTGCAATTTGTTCTAATCTGCTCTTGATCTTGGGGAATCTTGGAGGAATAAAGTGACCATCTGCGCCGAAAGGTGGAACGACTGCGGAATCTGAACCGGGAATGTTTCGTGGTCGGTATGTGTAGTAGAGGACGCCACCGCCTACTGTTGTAGCTCCAATTGTGTATAATAAAGGTTTTGCGAGACGTTGACGGAACGCCATTATCAATTAAACGTATGCGGATGGGAATTCGTGGGGAGATGGAGAAGAGGAGCAAGAGGATGTTTCGAGGGATGGAGAAGGAAAGGTTGGAGAAATGGGGAGTTGGAGGGTTATGGAGCGGCAAAGTTGTTATGATCTCAGGCAAAGTCCAAGTGGAGATTTTTATTCGTGTTGGGTTGTGTATGATGATGATGATGAAAGCGCCTGGTATGCCAAACTTTGCTATATATTAATTGAATGCAGATCAGCCCGCTTTATTGATCCAACTAACAGATTTCAATTGAGTTAAGAAGTCGGGAGGGTATTCAACCAAAAATCAAAAGGAATTATTCCCAGGTTGGTTTTGAAGCTTAGTTCTTTTAGGAGGCGGTAGTGGTGTTGAGGTTGGGATGGGATACTTGAATTGGAAATGATTATTAAATGATTGAATACTGTGTAGTGTAGTAACTTGGGTATTGAACAATTCAATGTATGATGATGTACGAGTATAACAGTAAAAGAAGAAATAGGTCAAAGAATCAATCACTTATCTACAATGAGGGGAAACACTATATGTATATGTAATCTTACATCTATATTTACCGTACTGTATATCAATATCAATATCGCCATCTCTATATCATTTGTTCAAACTCTCATTTTCCACCTCACCCTTCACCCTTCACCCTTCACTTTCACTCCCACCAAACCTCTCCCACCATTCATTCAAGGAACGTGCACCCGGATGTACATTTTTGGGCAAGCGCATTTCATAAGTTCTGATCTTTCTCCGTTACACCATTCCCCCCTCCCCCCCCCCCCCCTGTTCGTAAATTTTCCATTCTTCCAAGAAATTCTTCCTCCAATGGAAAACGGGTAATATTTGGCGTTGAGCTTGCATAATCTATATCTACTTCGTAAGAGCACATGATAGAATTATTACTATTACCGCCAACGAACTATATGTCAAGAAAAGATCGAGAACATGAATAACATGGATGTCATGAATAGACGCGGAATAACCAGAAAAAAGGGGCTTACAGACACTATAAAAATACTCCACCCAAAGAGTTATTCAATCAAATCTAAAATTTATTTAATCCGGAAAAAGTCATTCCACTTGTTTCTTGAACCATGGGAAATGGGAACACTTTATGAGTAAAAGCAACTCCAGGACTTGGAAATTACCCCACCTTTTTCTTGTCCCATGGGATATTTTTCTCTGGGGCTGAAATGTTGTCCATGTTGATCATTCAAACTTATGTTCAGTGGTTATTTATATATGGATACCGGAGTACCACCGAATCAAATAAGCTGATATCATACATACATACATACATACATGCTTGGGACCCTTCCCGTCCGATGGGACAAATGACATTTATGGTTTCGAAAGGAATCCGAAGATCGTGATATCAAATCCCAATTTTATATCTATTGTTGTCAGTGTCAGACACACATGATTGCTGCAGTTCTATGCGATATTTCAGATTTGACACATAGCTTGTTCTCAGTGCCCGTATTCGGGTTGGATATCGGTGAGTTCAACCGCTCGGGTTTCCTGAATACATTTAGCTCAGTGATGATCATCAAACAGCCAAGATCTACATGTTTGAGGAGAACAGATCACCATTTTCTCACTTACTTAGTCATTCGACTATTGTATATATATTCCTCGAGCGCAGCGAGGTAAAGGGGGTTTTGGGGGCTTGCCCCCATCAATTCAAACACCATGCATGAAATAGAATGTCGCTCCGCTGGCCCATCGGGGACCACTGCCGTGGAGGCAGACTATTTTGAAAGGGTTTCATTTATTATTCACCCGCGAATGTTAAACGAGTCATATATTGATGGCTGTCAAAGAACTCAGGACATGATGGTCTGGTACAAATGCTGACCTATATCTCGCCCACTGAAGAGATTGTTCGACTTTGGTGTTGTCTCGATCTATGAGCCCACCAAAAAATGAATGTGGTTGTATTCTTCATCCGGAAAGTATCAGTATTGGTGAAATGAGAATCGACAAATCGAACAAGAGGTTGGATTGCTGCCTATTAAAATTCGAGTCTATCGGCTACCGACGGCAGGCAGCAGGAGCGAGAAAATGGGGTGAAGTAGGATTATTCCAAGATTATCACCCGAACCATTCATGTGGTTTTAAAATGGAAAATTAACACACCACATTGTTTGAGTATATGAAAGAGCTCTTTTTCAAAATACCACGAAGGGAGCGGCGGTCCGTATTTGGAGCTGACAACCCACCGCTTCATGAGAAAATCGGAACCTTTTGGAAAGCCGGTGATGTAAATGACAGAATAACGAAGTCATATCAGACATGCGGTACATGCATGTCAAATTCCTTTTGATATAAAACTCGACTTCGAGGTTGCATACTTTTCCTAATATCGAATCTCCCTGGCCTTTGACGCTCGGTTGGGGTGGAATATTCTAACCATCCAATATAACCGAGGATGCGGATCTGGAAATCATCATTGAATGACATACTGCTCGATAAGCTGTCGAATAGGCATACTTTGACCGTATCCAAGTACAGCAGAATCCAGTCATGCAAGAAGCCGGTTGTAGCAAACGGCAGAGGAGCTTTGATGGATTCTGGAGGAATTCGTCTTGAAATCTCAAGGATCTCGAATTTGTTATTATTGCCCATCTCAGCTCTAGCTGTGTATCAGAATGCTCTACACACCATTAGCGCACGCGATTCCCGCGTTTGTCCATGATGAAATCATACGCAACAAACGCCGTTAGCAGATGAGGGTAACATTGATATCGGTAACGTGCATCGAGGAAATGAGATCTCCAGGATTGGAAGAATCCTACAGGATTACTCAAATTAGCGCCGGCACTGGATTGATTTTGAACCTCAATCCTTTTAGCTTTCCTATACCATTTCAACCAATGGGGCGAGCATTCCTGAACCGATGTATCGGATGAGATACCAGCGCTTCCTGAACGTTCCCGAGTCATCAAAAGAATCAATCAAGCGGTGATATTTGAGATTGATTTAGTCCTAGGCAATTTCTCATCATCTCTTGGTATTGAAGGTAATTAATCATATTGTTGACGGTTCATAGGTGAGTAATCAAGTGAGGATCGAATGAGATGAAGGAATCCTATCAATACCAATACCCAACATCTCTTTTCACTTCAAAGCCTCGGAGTGTATTTCTGAAATTACCTAATGCTTTTTGAAGTATCGAATTAGTTATTGGTCAAGAAGTCAAAGTTTAACGTACCATGGTGTGATCCAAGTGAATATTCTATCTTCGGTGGTGCGTGGGTGATGGTTGAGATTGAGGGTGAGGTTGATGGTGCAGCTCTTTCCTTTTGAAGAGAATTCTCTGATTGGTCATGACGGGAAGGAAGAACACAAAACCGTGGTAGGAATATTATCGTCCCTTCTTTATTTGATATCGGGACGGAACCTTCAAGAAAAACCAAAACTACCCGAGGGTCCGAGAGTAGTTTTCGGTATTTCGTTGGGTGGTATTTGGAAATTGAATCGCACCGTCATCAATTCTCTCTTCACTCCCTCCCGTGTTCCCTCCCGTTCTACTACAAAACAGTACTCGCGTACTTCTATACCAAACTCCTTCTCGTTCGCCTTCACCTTCCACTTCAAAAGATCAATTTTGGTCAAATTCATTATTCCAATTTGAAACATAAAAACAAAATCATCTTCTCTTGTCTGTTTCTTTCCCATCTTCTTCCTTCCTACTCCAAAATCTTCAAACCTTCAAACCTTCAACCGTCAACCCTTCCACCCTCAAAATTGAACCTTTTGAGTTTGAAGTCGATCTGTATTGAGATCGTCCACACAAACACCCTTTCCAATACTTGGTTTTCTCGAATAACTCCTCAACCCATTCGAAAAGGATCACAATAGTCAAAGTTTTCATCATGACAGATCATTCACAACAACAATCCGCCATTTCCAATTCTTCCTACTATAGCACGGCAACTACCAAGCCAGTCCCTACACCTGCATCAGTTTCCAGTGCTCCACCAGGATGGCTCTACAAGCGCACCCGCATTGGCAAATATCGTCTTCCCTATTACGCGTCGCCACAAGTTCAATTGGTCTTGGTCGCACTTGTATGCTTCCTCTGTGTTGGCATGTATAATGCGCTCAGTGGTCTTGGTGGTGGTGGTCAAATTTCTGCAAAGCCAGCTGATAATGCGAACTCAGCTCTCTATTCCACTTTCTCGGTCGTCGGTTTCTTTGCAGGTACTTTCGCAAATCGTCTCGGAATTAGACTCACTTTGAGTTTGGGTGGATTGGGTTATTGTGTCTATGCTTCAAGCTATCTATGCTATAGTCATACCCAAAATACTGGTTATGTTATCTTCGCAGGTGCATTACTCGGTGTTTGTGCTGGTCTTCTCTGGACAGCTCAAGGTGCTATCATGATGTCTTATCCACCGGAAGAATCGAAAGGAAAGTATATCTCATGGTTCTGGTCAATCTTCAATCTTGGAGGTGTCTTTGGTGCTTTGGTAAGTTCAATCGCGCAAACTTTCCATGAATCGCATACTGATAATTTACTCTAGATCCCTCTTGCCTTGAACATCAAAGACACTTCAAATCATGTTGTTAGCGACGGTACATACATTGGTTTCATAATTCTCATGTTCATTGGAGCACTCAGCGCGTTATGTCTATGCGATGCGCATAAAGTTCGACGTGCTGATGGATCTCATGTCATTCTGATGAAGAATCCAACTTGGAACACAGAAATCTGGGGACTTTGGTACACTCTTAGGAATAACGTCTATGTCTTCCTCCTGTTTCCAATGTTCTTTGCCTCCAATTGGTTCTACACATATCAATTCAATGGTGTCAACGGCGCACATTTCAATACACGAACTCGAGCCCTTAACAATATTTTATATTGGTTCGCACAAATCATTGGTGCTTTCTTATCTGGTTACGCCTTGGATATTCAAAGATTCAAGAGAACCACTCGAGCTAGAGCTGGCTTGATTGTATTGATCATCCTGACTGCCGCTATTTGGGGTGCAGGTTATGGTTTTCAATCTAGTGTTCCTGATCGTGATGTTACTGGTAAACTTGATTACGAAGGCAAAATGGATTGGACAAGTGAAGGTTACGCTGAAGAATTGGTGTTGTATATCGCCTATGGATTCTATGATGCTGTCTGGCAATTGTCTGTATACTGGTATGCATTATTGTCTTGAATTTGCTTATCAGAACTAATAGTTCACAGGTTCATGGGTGCACTTTCCAATTCTGGTAGAAAGACAGCAAACTTCGCTGGTTTCTATAAGGGTATTCAATCAGCTGGTGCTGCCATTGCTTGGCGTATTGACGCAATGGATTATCCATACCTTACTCAATTCGCCATTACATGGAGTCTTCTTGCTGGTTCTCTTGTAGTAGCAGCACCTGTTATCTTCTTGAACATCAAAGAAGCTACATCAATTGATGATGATATTCTCGATACTGATCTTAACTATGCAGACATTATCCCTCAAGCTATTCTTCTTGATGAAGATAAGAATTATCATGGTGGTCATAGCAGTTCAACAGACACACGTCGTCCGTTTAATCCAACTAGGGATGATATGGAACTTCCTCATCTTCGACATGAGAAGAATACCGAAGATATGGTTTAAATCTGTCAAAAGATCCAAGAGTAGGTTGTTACTGTTAGTAAAGTCTATCCTCTCCTGGACCTGACTGGTTTTCTTGTTCTTTAGTTTACGATGGTGATGATTATTTGCGGATGGAAGGATGGAGAGATTGAAGGTTAAACCTCAATTTCGTTTTTACTTCTCGTCACAACACCTTTTATGAGCCACTGATTGTACATGAGTACCGAGTATTTGCTTGAGACAATATTTTCGATTTTGATTTCGGTGCAGACGTTTCTCGTTTTTCTGATATTTTACAACGCAACAAAACGACATATGGTTCGATGGTTCGGGAATTTGCTTTTTTCATGTTTATGGTTGTGATGAATGGATGTGGGATGAGAGTTCTTGAAAAAAAAGCAAATTGCGAATGAAGGATCAATGTTATATCGGAAAGGATGGTTGAGATTTTCGCGATTGAAAAATGGATTGTATGAATGGGGTGGTGGTTCTATGGCATGGCTAGGATTCAAAGCATATACTTGTGGTAATGATTCTTCGGATGGAATTCAAAACTTGATGTGGATGCTTTATCCTTTTTAACTTTAGAAGTACCACGGATGGATTTGATTGAAATTCTTGAGTTTCGAACTTCTTTTAGATACTTGATGTATGATGCTTGATGTTTGCTGCTTCATATAATTGGCTTATTAGAGCATTGGATTGTTGCAATTGAGCTGATACTCTGGGTTGTGGTTGTGGCGGAGTAGTTTGTTAATTTATGCGTGGCTTTTTATGGTTTTGACGATTGTGATGATGATTGTGATGATGAAATGATGTGTGTGTGAGTGAGAAAAAGCGAGTCCGAGATAATGTTGTCGACTTTGATAACTAGATATGTATTTGGTGATAATTATATTCAATTTTATACGAAATGTAGAGAGAGAATAGGAGTGGTGGCGTGGTGGTGTGATATAAGGAAGTAGAGGAGCGGGACACAAGGGAAATGGAGTTTTGATTCTACTTGGGGGTTGTAGAGTAGGTGGTTTGGTTTGGTTGGGGGTGGTGGTTTTGAGGGGGAGAGGGGGAGAGGGGGAGAGGAGGAGAGGGGGAGAGGGGGGAGAGGAGGGAGAGGAGGGGGAGGAGGGAGAGGGGTTTAATCTTTAAGTCAGAGCTTGAGGTTGAGAGTAAAGATTCAGGAGTAGATTTGGATTTGGATTTAGATTTAGATTTAGATCTGAATTCCGGTTTTGGATTGTTTCAATAAATATGAGGAATAAGTAAGGGATTGAAGAGTGGACTGGAAAGATGAGAGAATTTGTGCTACGGAGTGGAGATGTTATGGGGATAGGGAGGGAGAGTGTGATTCTACGAGAACTAGGTATATACTATGTACTCGTTTACTTCATTCTTAAATCTACCATCTAAAATCTAGAGTCTAAGATATAATCTCTACTTCTACCTCCATCAGTACCTCGTCAGCTCCCTCGCTCTTTCCCGAAAGAAATCACATGAAGAATTGAGGCATAGTTTAAAAGCGATATCTAGAAAACTCTTTTTCTCTTTTTGATCTTCTTATGGATATCTGGAGGACAGTAATCAAGATCACCCACATGTGAGAATGGAAATGGAGAACGGGAGAGGGAGAGGATGGGGGAGAGGGGGAGGGAGTGGAGGAAAGAGAGATTGGTGATGGTGGTGATAGAGATGTGGATGAGGATCATAACAGTGGTGAGGTAATGACGATGACAATGATGGTGATGACGGTGATGATTTTTGCTGTAGAAATCGGAATTTGCGAACGAAATGAGATAGTGATGAAGAATGATGATAATAGTGATAGCAACGATGATCATCGTAATCATGATTATCACAGTGATTGTAATACAATAAGTTACCAAGGTAATACTATAGAGTAACACTAATGCTTAACATATGGGTAAGAGATCATCATCTTCATCTTGATACTTATCACGACGTTGGGATGTTCGAGTATTTAGGCTTGAGATTTGAGATAGAGGTGGGGGATCATGTGGGTTTCTAGTGGTTTTAGTGTGGGTTATAGGGGGAAGAGGGGGTAGTAGGTCCAAGATTGAGGGTAGAGAAGTGGAGGGTAGAGGGTGGGGGTTGTTCATAATATTGAGGATGGGATGTTGAGGATGGAACCGTGCGTGGTTAAAAAATGAGAAGTAGGAGATGAATTCTATACACTAGGTGAGAAAGCTATAGTACTGATCAAACTCACAGAGTAAATTTTCACATGGGCATATAGATTAGAAGCATAATTAAAATATGCCATGAATGATAAAAATATAAGCGAGATACTCCAGATTGCTTCAAGAACTTTGAAGTATAAAGGAGACATTCTCTGACTGTAAAGTTCAAATCGGAGGATTATAGCTCCATTATCAAATTTTCAAATGTTGTGGATGACAGGAGCAGCTTTGGATATTTTTTAACTCGGGGTTTTGGACAAAGGGGCTGAAGGTTGTTAGACCAAGACTTTATGGGTTCTTAAAGGTTTGGGTGATTGTTATATGTGGATATCAATCTTTTGAAGATGATAGAAGAAATATAGAAAATGACAGTAAAAGAAGCGAGCATATACTGAATTCTCATAACAACAAGAAGAGTTGCGAAATATAACGTATCAACATTCTCATCAAGACCCAAACGCTCCCGAGAAAGATCCCTCGAGTTGCGATAGTCCTAACTACTAACTTTTTCCTTGGATTTGATTTGGATGACAGGATTTCCTCAACACCAAATAGTACATCTTCGTGAGGTTAGTTTCATTGAGAAGTGTGAATTTTGAGAAGTTTTTATAGGAGGGCTGGGGTGGAGATGATGGATAGAAGGGGGTAAGAGCAGGGTAGAATAGATATGGCACACAATTACACTATCCCAAAGCGGGGATTCGAAGACAAGAATTCATCGAGCAAAAAAAAACAGAGTTGAGCAACCGGAAGAAGAAGTATAAAAGACCTTACTTTCCCGACTAAACAGATCATGTTTTCTATTTTGGGTCAGGTTACTATACCTCAAGAAGTGAGATGATAATAGTACCTCATTAGGAGTTATAGTATTGTCAGCTAGATTAAAAATAGTTGTAGGGTGGTTTGGCGAGAAAGAAGAGTATGGGTAAATGATTAAAAGATTAACATGGTGGTGAAAAGAGTGGCTAGTGGTGAGTGGATGGTGATAATGAGAAATTGTACGATGATACTGATGGATAGCAAAAGTGCGAGATGTGGTAATAAATATGTTAAAGATAGAGAAGTGTTGTTGTTGAAGATTTTATACGTATATGGGTTGGGAAATGACAATGATGATAGCTTTGTCTGGATTGGTGGATATAAATCTTCTTGTGTATGAGAGTTGGTTGAATAACGAGTGTGATGTGTATATATTAAAAGGTGTATACAGTGAACCAAAAACGAGACTACGTCGTTGAGAAGAAGTTATTAGTGTGATTATGAGGTATGTGGAAGATATAGGGACATACCGTTGAGAGCTTTCAGTGAAGATGTCCAGGTCAGCCCAAAGCTGGTAATATCAGGTCTCATCTTATGATCCAGTTTCTAGAACGAAACCAGGTATAGATTGTGGTACTGTAGTTTGGGAATTAGATTGAATTTTTGATGGAGAAACAATGGTGTAGTTTGGTAAGTATGAAGGGTTGAATGTAGGATGAGTAAGTATCAAAGTGGGAATAAGTGAGTGAGAAATGAAAGCTGAATATGGATGATGGCTACAGTAGAATCAAGGAGCGAAGGTGCCTTTTAAAAGATTGATTTTGTAGGTTCTGGAAGCTATGCAATGTTCAACAGAAGTAGCAACATTTCAGGTTGAATGGTGGGTCTGCCACTATTGCTGAGCTCATTGTGAAGGGACACTTATCACTATCGGGATGTCTCAATTAGGGAATGAGAGGTTGTCACATATAAATCAAGACTGTGTGCATTACAAATGACTAAAGTCTAAAGGTGTAGAATTGATATATATTAATACAAAATTATAAACTATCCATTTGTGTACAGAACATGTGACAAACTTCAAACTCCACAAATAATTATTGCTGACCCCAGATACGCTCTATTGAGGAGCAAAACCCCTGTTACAATCCCACAAACAATGTCCTCCAAACGGACTGAATACCCACGCGCTTAAGAAGAGTAATAAGCGATACCAGCAGTAATTGCATCACCGATAAGCTTAGCGGCAGCTGCAGCCCTGGGGATCACATCCTCGGAGGTTCTTTGAACCAAGAGTCCACCGAAAGTATTGTAATCATTCTGCAAGACAATCAACCACGCGAGAGTAAGCGTTTGTTGATCACTTGTGAAAAATTCCTTCTTCGCTATCAAGACGTCGATAGCGTTGGGGATGTCAATAGACAAGGTCGTCTCGATGGTGGCCACAACACGGGTGGAATCCTCGGGGCTGGCTGGGGCCTCAAGGGCTGCATCGGTGACTCCTTGCTGATTTGCGATATGGAGGGATGTGAAGTAGACATTCACGGAAGAGGAATCGAGTTGTTTAGCCTTGACGGCGTCGAGGCTACCGGTCAGGACCAGGACATCAGCATCGATACTGTTGATGTCGGCGATGACGCTATCGGCAGTAGTAACAGATTTGACCGCGGCAGGAGCTGCTGAGACGGCGACGGCCATGGTGGCAAGGTAGAAGGCGAGAGCTTTGATGGAGACCATGATTGCAGTTTTTTGGCTTTGAAGCGAAGAATGAAGATAGATAATAAGCTTGGTAGTGAATTGGATGTGAAGATTGATGTGATGCTTTTTGAAAATTGAGAGATCTCACTCTGGTATTTATAATACACCTCAACTACTGAAGAAGCTTGTCAACGCTCCCAATATCATAACATCTTGAAGATCTACAGAACTAGTCGATCTCGATCATCCGGCTTCTACACTTGTAGAACTGAACTCTGCGAAACTAACGGAGGATTCCTCAGCAATTGAAACTCAAGGTACTGGTGAAAAGTCAAGAAAGATCGAAGTATGGCCTGTTCAGCACATAGCTTCCGGTTACCGCTTGGAACCAAATTGTATGATTGCTGGTACGCTCACTTCAAGAAAGTCTTTGATGGAAATAGTGTTTGTTAATGCAAATTTGTGTTTTCCATAGCCGGTTCTGTTGTATCAAAGTTTTTGGCTTGGCGGTGAGATATTCCAGTCTTCATGGAAGCATGATTGCGTCCATTGCAACGGATGCGAAGTTAATTTCTACTTCGGTAGGTAGAAGAGAAGTTATCAAAGTTCTGATGAGATTAAGTATTCCCACCTTATTGGAATAGCTCTAGATTTACCCAATGACTTAGCACTCTGCAGTACATACTACGCTATTTCCACCCAGTCTGGTAGACGAGTGACTTCAAGAGACATGGAGAGCCTCGAACCCTTGAAATTGACTTTTGCCAGCCTTTTAGATTTTGACACATCTTCGATTGCGAAGGTTTCATTGCGAAAAAGCAATGATTGCCTGGATTAGGATTCTCCAGCTATGTTACTATGGAATCAGTATCTCGAACTCGAATCCGACAATTGTTTATTAATAGATGTTCGAGAAAAGTCTTAGAAGACGTACCATATAAGCCCATGCAGATCACACAAACAAAAGGCTTGTAGAAAGGTAGGCAAGTGCCATAAAAGGCGTCAAAAATGGTACACCGTAAGACTTGGTAATGATCTACAATGAATATTGTTTAAAATCGATAAATAGCGGTGGGATGTAGGGAAATGAAGCTAATGCTACCTTAAATCGATTCGAGCTAAACCTTATTTCATCGTCCATCCACTAATTAATGTTCCACTTCAGCGCTTGTTTCACATTTTATATGTACCTGCATTGTATCTTTGATGGTTTCAAGACTATACAGTTTCATTATTTCTTCAAAGACTTCGTACCATGTATTAAAATAGCTTCATTAAAAAGAGATGGCGGGAAGGACATTGAAAGAAAACGGGGAAGGACTCTAGGAAACAGTTCTGATTGAATCCGACAAAGATTAGATTTCGAGTGAAAAGTCTGATACATTTATATAAACCGGAGGAAGAAACAAAGGGTATTGAATGGTATACCCCATTGAAGATGATTATAGGATCCTTCTAGAACACTCTCCTATCAATGTTACACTCTCCGCTCATATCAATGAAGTTGCTTAAGTTCAACCTCATTACTGTGTCCAGTGGGATAAGGTATGTCTTCATCTTCAGGCACTGACCATTTCTGATAGACCATCTCACCATGTTGTACAAAATGTCCTTCATTATCAATACCAATAACAGGATCTCTCTTTACTTCCAACACGGCGCCACCCAAGAACAAAGGAACTGCGAAACGAAAGACCATATAATAAATGAAACCAGTTAGAACAAGTGTCCATCCGATTGTGGGAACAATGTACCAAGGTATGGAACTTCCAGGAGAAGATTCTGGAATCCATAACGCAGCCATCGGAAATGCATTGGCGACGAAAACAATAATTGCAGTTATGAGACTGAACCATCTGTTTGTTGTGGAGTATGTGTTCCATTCATCTGTCTCTCTTGATCGCATCCATATCATGCCAAAACTGAGACATATCGCGACCAGTGCATCAATTGGGTATGTGTAAATTTCTGCCAGAAGCTGTCAGTGAACGTTGGGAAGGTGGAGAACAAAAGTGAGATTTGAGAATTCACTTACCAACAAGCAACGGGTAAGCGTCCCTGGACCGAGGGATTCGAATCGAGGCAAGAATCAAAATCGTGGAGAATGCGCAATGAAGTACGAGAGCTGGAAATGGAATTGGCTCGATTTCGGCTCGCTCTGGCGTGGCTGTGGCACCTCCCTGTGGAGGATGCTCAACCGTCTCTCCAACTTGTTTCGATCGCTTCAATTTCTTGGTTGCCCATTTAATAATGTTGACGTTCTTGGCAAAGACCAAAGAGAATGGAAGTATCCCTTCTTTCGCAATCTCCTGCTTGACACGAGCAGCGGTAAAAGTAGTGACAATGACGTTGCCCAAGCTTGAGACAGCCAGGCATGCATCCATCAGTTGACTTGCTCGCCTTTCGTTCCAAGCCTGACCAATAGTTCGCTTGAAGAATTGTTCGACTACTGATTCATCTTCTGGGAAATCTCCATCTTGTGAGACTACTACTACTATCATCTAAAGTTGCTATCAGCATGTTTTCATGGGCCATTCAAGGTTCATACAACATATGATATGTTAGTTAATAAGTACAGTAAACACATTATTCCAACAGTCCATAGAGATATGCCTCGAAACCGAGTGGTTGGCTTCTTAATTTCACCGAGGACCTTAAACAATGTTAGGCAGACCACAAAGGCTGGCCGAGACGGTACCTACATAGTTTGCCTGGTTCCACCCACCGCATGTGAATATAATATTGAGGTATGCGGCTGCAAATCCACGAGCATGGTCTCCTTTCCCTAGTTCTTTGAAACTGGTACTTGTGTCGAGGTTAGTGTACGAAAGCGGGTCGCGATGGAAGTGTCCGGTATGATTGTTGAGTACCATGAAGCCAAGTATAATTATCATAATAAGCATAGAGACCTTGGTCACAGCGAAAACACTGTTCAAGTGAACACCGAACATCCTGCCTAATGCATGCAACAAGGTAACGAGCCAGGCAGTACCAAGAGCGATTCCTTGTACTGCCCCCTTTGGTGGATCACTTATTCCTGCTGCTGCGAGACAATGAACTGCAAACGAAACGCAATTGGCTGCAGAATTTCCGACGACCACAAATACGAAGCCAAACATACAAATCGCCATGTATTTAGGATGTTTCGCGAGAAATTTGATGTAGTTGAGTTCACCACCACTTCTTGGAACAGCTTGGATTTCGCCAGCCATCCTCCGCCGTGGAATCGTAAGGCCATACTCGACGTACATTAACGTGCCAGCCATGCTAGCTACGAAGCCCAAGGTCCAGAGAATGAGACTCGCCCCGATATTCCTATCTTGTTGTATAATAGTGGTTGGCGACTCAAAGATCCCCGTTCCTGAACATGTATGAGTAATGGTCGCTGCAGAGGCAAGTCAGTTTTTAGGAAGGTGACATACCCATCATGCGATTTATTATGATACAAGCGACTTGGAAACGACTCAACAAATCTTTGTCCTCTGGAGATTTTGTGAATTCTTTCGAAGAGTTACCAATAGCCTCCTGTTCGTCCAAGTATATCAAATCATCAACACTGAGACCACCAAGACTTATATTGCTCCGGTCTTGATACAAACTTTCCGAAGGTACAGCCATGGTTGGTGATTGCTGTTGCGCCGGATTTCCCATCATTGATTTGATCAATTCAGAGTTCTGATTTCCGATGAAACGCAGGTTATATGCAGATTGATAGCAATTGGCTACATTGAAATGTTGAATCCTTCAAATGTGAAGGAGAGGTTGGCTGGGCCATGACTGTTCTGAAGTATTTGAACTAGGCCTCGCCCGCACCCGTAGAGGCTTCGGTGAACTATTTTGTGTGACAGCCTCATTCTTAATATCTTGTCGGATTGAGACAAGGACAAGAAGCCAAGATCACAAAATAAGTGAGATTGGGTCACACTCACGAGGGTGGCAGGGGGATTTATTTAACTAAGATTATTGGCTGCGCCCCCGCGCCCCTCATTCTCTCTAGTTGCACACTGGAACAATAGCTTCACAGGGCTTAGGCATAGAGTATTCATCTGACAGAAAGATAACTATGGGACGGAGAGGATTTGCTTATATTTTTATGTGTTTAACCGATTTAGAATAATCCGGGTCGTCATTCCATTGAACTACAGCGGTACATATGATAAGCGGATGGTGGCAATACAATAGCTAGTCGTAGGCAGCTAATTTTTTAAACAGGGCTACACACTACATTTCGAGGGAGACAAGTACCTGTTGATTTTGACAACTTTTTTTCTTTCATATTGTTGCTATCTCTATCACTCTCTTTGCTTTTAACATGATACTATTGCGCTCGATATTGTGGAAATCTCTTGACAAGGGACAAGGTTATGATGATGGAATTTTTTGACCACATGCGGGCCCTTGCTGATAAGCTTCACGATCGCACTCGTGTCTCTCTACCTGGTAAGCAAAATATATATGCAATTCGTTACCGGATTTCTGATTTTCGTAGATTCTCACGATTCGAGGTCCGATAACAATTTGGAGGAAGAACTTGACGAACTTATAAAGTATCTATCGACAGTCCACGCCCGTTTTCTCGATGTTCAGGGTACCTCGGACCAGAATGGCGATTCTCGTTCGTCTGGGGACCTTATCAGAATCTTGATCGACGTTCATGGGAATCTGAAAGTTACTTTGCAGTTGATAGAAGAAGAAGATGCGAGAAATTATAAGACCCCCAAAAAGGCTTTTCTCTGGAAGTCGGATCTGCTGAATTCAGTTGCGGAAGCTATAGCCATTGAAAATCACAAATTGAGAGTATTGCTCTGCACTTTCGACCCGTAAGTAGATTACTGCCAGCAGATGAATTTGGCTCATATTGACTCTTTTCTAGAGATGCAAATGTTGAAGCTGCCATTCCTCTAGAATGGAGAAGGTTGAGATCGCAAAATATCGAGGGCTACGTCGAAACGGAAATACAAAGATGTGGGAGACAGGGAAGCGAAGCAAGCCGACTGGATGGCTATAATTACCAATTTAAATGGAACAAGTTGAATGATGCAGAATACTTGAGCAGTATCTCCGGGGATAAACTTTGCAAAGTTTCGGCCAAATCTTGGGAAACTTTCATTCAATGTTTCACTCGAAATCTACAAATTGCACGAGAAGAGTCTTGTGAACCTTCTGATAGGTGGATACATCTTATGATTTGCTCGCACTACTTGATGTCCGCTAGAGACTCTCGGGAGTATCGCCAATTCTCCACACATTTCAAACATCCACAAGATTTATGTATCATTGATACGGGCTTCACTTTACATCATTATATAACGGAGCTAGAGATCGTGAGTAGCTACCACTCCTTGATTCACCTAAAGCTGACAACCCACAGCTGCTCTTCGGCATTCTTACTGAAATAGAAACAGAATATCTCAATCCTGATGCAGTTCAGGAAAGGACCAAGACAAAGAATTCGCAGCAATCCACGCCATTGATTTCTCAAACTCCTCTACTAGTACAAGATAGGCATGAAAGTGTCTCAACTGAGTCGACTCAGTCAATGAGCATTGATGAATACGGAGTTGTTTTCAAATGGTAACACAATCTGTAATTCCGCGATATAGTCATGTAGGAATACTAACATTTGTTAGTCAGCTCAGTGGCGAGCAAGCTGGTCATATAATTAAAATTCGAATCGATGCAGAGGGTGCATTGACTTTGGATTTCGATGAGGAACCACGTCTTTGGCCTAAAACCCTTCAGGCGTTTAGAGAATTGTAAGTCTGCACAATTAAACTGCTGACGTGGTAATGATTTCTAATTCTTCCATTATAGGGATTTACGAAGAGCTTCTATTCACCCCAATTATCTTACCCCTGGAATATATATGTGTCATTTAACACTTGAGAGGAAACTACGTGGAAGAACCGATATCCCGAGTGGCCGTTTGTTCTTCGAAAGCTCAATACGTTTGAAGGAATTTCAAAGGGCTCTGACAGGATATAAGGTTTTAGTAGACTTGTTAGTTCTTCCAATATCTGCAGGACATCAATACCTGCTGATTCTTCTACAGTCAACAGGGCATCAAACTCCGGACCCTTGAGAAGTATCAATTTGAAAGCAAAAATGCGATTACTGGAAGACTTCAAATTTGGCTGAAAGATTTCAGCAGGGGGCATGATTCTACCCAAGCTGGTGCAGGCTCTTCACTTCGAAGAGCATCGACATCTCTCTCAACTGTGAGCGGAACTACTTTTGCTTCGATAGCCACACTGAAGGCCCAACAAGCCATTCCTGGTTCACATCTGACCACTATTGACGAGGGGAGTGGCTTACAAATAGAAATGCCCGTTCCTCCACTGGTCATTATGTTTGTTGAATCCTCGTCGAGAGCTGGGAAGATCCAACGAGGGCAGATCTTGGCATTCAAATGTAAGCAAGCTGAATCTTTTCTTGATTGGTTACTAAGACAGTCGTAGTTGCAGAGAACTCGAAGCTTGACCGAAAAAAATGCAAACCTGATGACAAATTTTCTCGCTGCTTCGTGCTTCGCCCTGTTCGTTGTGACCTTGAAATTGGACCTCTGAAATTTCCACAAAACCCGAAAGAACTCAGCTGGCTCGAAGTTTCTTTCTCAAACGATGAAGGTAAGTTGTGACTCGGTAAAAAGAATTGTATCAAATGCTAAGATATTGTTGATAGAAAGGGAAATCTTTACTAAACAACTTGAAGATGCAAGAAAAATATATCATCGACGTATGGAACAACATAATAAGGGCTTAAAATTCATGCGCCAGGGCCGTCATAATACCAAGGAATACGGCGTAGATTGATGACAATGAATAATGTATAATCTTTCATGATGAACGAAACGAAGGCTACGAAAATGGTAGCATTTAGTGCACCGTGTATATTTTCTGGGCTCATACGCCTTTTGTATAATATGGTTCTACTTTTGAAGATCATTTCATGAATTGAGTCTCCCTTATGTGTATATGATTTCTCATCATTTGCTAGGCTAATGTTGTCTCCAACTCATCTTGGGAGAGGAAGGTGCCTCTTCTTCTCGGAGCCGATGGTCCATTGATAATTTGATCCCCCCTTCTTTGGGAGAATTCATTGCCTGAGGTAGACTGGACTGCAATTCTCTGCTCTTCCAAACTACAGACCATACCATCTATATTGCTCGAAACATCCTCGTAAAGTAGGTCAGATCTACTGCTGTATTTTACCATGCCAGAATGGTCGGAGTTCAGAGGTAGATTTCTTGCACCTGGCGTTGCGCTATCTTCTACCATGAGAATCTTCTCGCCCACAATGCCATTTCGCTGTTTTTGCTGTTAGCCACCCGAAAGTTTATCATCCAAGAAAAGCTTACTGTTCGAGGTTGGGAATAATGCCTCTCCCAAAAATACAACACTTCTGGTGCATGCGAGGAGGATCTTTCTTTCCGCTTGCAGCAACTCTCAAATCTGTGTTTTAACTCGATGAGATAAGTAGAAGGTGTGCCATTTTCACGATCACGACATAATTGGCCGATCAAAACTTTGTTTGGTTGTGATTTTACAGCTTCAATAAGAGAAGGGTTGTTGAGACCTGCTATTGGGATACCAAAGCCGACAAGTCCGTGCCAGGAGTCAAATATCTCACGCTCGTACGGATCACGACTATCTGCAGCTCTGAGAAGTGACTAAACAGCGTGAGATTAGCACCCATATCTAGGAAGCCGAGACAAAACTTACCTCCTGGACTATCAGGCCTCCAAGACTTTGTCCAATAAAGATTATAGGCCGATTTCGTGTCTATGACCTGTGTCAGCAACAGCCCTTAGCGGCTTCATCGACATGGGTACACCACCTACCGAAGTGTTTCTGCGAAGCATTGTCAATCTATTCAAGAAGGTACTTGCTATATCCTCGATTTTTTCCATGGATTGACCTCCAGAGACAGTGGACGGATATCCATACAACAGGACACGAATGTTTCGAATATCTTTGGGGAGGAAATCTCTCAACCACATCTCATGACTACCAGGAGTTGTGGAACGGAAAGTCCCAAAGGCGTGCGTTCCAAGACCCACCACGGCTACGATACTATAGTTCACGTCAGTCTCGAGAACGAGTCGTGTGAATGATATTTTTACATACTCTACATCAGCTTGCAACCCCTCAGAACTGGCATTATACAAAGTTGTGAAGTTCAGGAAATCCGCATCATATTGTATCTCCGGTACATCTGAATGTGATTGGCGTGCTAGGATCACTTTTGGTAAATGCTCTGTTGGAAACCCATACTCCTCGTCTGGAAACGTAACGGTAGCACAAAGATGTTCTCTCGTATGAAGCGCAAGGCTTCGTATCTTGGGTTTGCTACGAAATTCCTCTTGAACTATTACTTCAAGAACCTTTTCCGTGTACGCTACCGGTATGTTCTTAATGCGAATAGTATCTGGTCTGTCTTTTATTGCGGGTGGCTTGGGAACTTTCTTTGAATCAGAACTTGGAGGTTGCACTGGCCCTTTTCCTTTGTCTGACTTTGGTAGAGGATCGAGTTCTCGCAATATAGCTTGAACTTTGATACGACAGAGGTTATGTACTTTCTGTGATTGTTAGTTGTATGTAAAGTACCTATATCGTGCTAAAATACCTGTAATTCCTCAGGTTTGGGCGCCTCGTTGCTTGGTAACTGGACTTCATAATCATAGTTCTGCGCTCCGGACTAATTGTGAAGGTTAAACTTACAGTCGACCTGAGTGATGATGACAAATACTGACAGCGGACTTATTTCGAATCACTTTCGCATTTTTACCGAAGAACTTATGAACGATGCCCTCAATGGCGACAGTACATTCTTTTCGATCACCGGAGACGGTACAAACGCAACGCAAAACATCGTCTGAATTTCGACTCATTGGATAAACACGCTTTCAATTATACTTGCGCAACAGATAAAGCGGATTATGTAAAGGGAAAAGTAAATTCGTTGAGGTATTTCATACGCGGGATCTGTTAATGTGCCTCGACCAGGCTGCAAGGTATACTTCAATGATGAGGCTCAATGCGGAGAGAATACTCGAGCTGACCATTTGCTTGATTTACTTGGCTCTCGGGGCTGTTACTGTGACCTAATACGGAATTCCTCACATGTACCCGTGCATCCTCGGCGTTGTGTGACTAGTCATTTGTCTTATCGCTCAGCCCGAAATGTTCGCCCTATGGAATGAGACATGGCACCAGGGCAGTGCTCAACCCGTGGTATCGATGTACACTCGGTGAGGGGTTTGATAAAGAAGAGATGATACCAGGTAATTGGGAACATTACTGCATCAAGTTTCGAACTTTATAACAGACTTCACTACAATGTCTCCTTTTCGGAAATCTCCAGCGAAGAACGTGGAAAAGTCAAGCCGGGTCCCGTCTTACAGGTCAGCTGACTATCCAAATCCTCAATGGCAAGAAGATGTGAAGATAAGGACGCCTTCATTTGGCACATCAAGCCTTGCGACAGAAACGGAAACTACTAGTTCTCCAATAATAGTACCCCAACCGCCAATAAATATCGACGATGTATGGCGAGAAGTACGAGCACTTGAACGCCACAGGTTCGCATCATCTCGGTACCGCAAAGTCGGGAAGACTATTGAGCCTGTTATAGACTTTTTAACGAGGTTTTCTCCTATAATAGATATGATGGTTCAGGGGACTAGTAGTGCCTCTTTAGTGTGGGGCTCTTTGAAAGCTGTTTTGATGGTTGCTCAGACTTCGGCTACTTACTTTTATTATATCGACAATGCCATGTTGAAGCTTAGCGACATCCTTTCCATATCGAGTCAGTATGAAAAAATGTTCGCGACGGAATTCCGTGTTAGAACTGCGTTGTCGTATTTATATGATGAGATATATCTTTTCCTGGAGAAAATACGAAATTCGGTTTCTGTTTGCTGTTAGTAAATTGTCCCCCAATCTCTTCTACCCCAGTTCTGACAAACTGTTAGCATTGAAGGTCTTTCTCAAGAACCTGAAAAAGTCTTTCGACGCAGAGTTTAAAGATAATTTGGAACACATCGAAAGATATACTCGTGTTTTCAATGATGAAATTACTCTTGCGCATCGAGAGAGGATGGGTGTATCGACTAAGAAAATCCAAGAATTAGTTGGAAATATTGCTTTAGACAATGTGAATCTTGCCAACCGAGTAGACAGTCGAGATGTATATCGTGAGTCCAGTCATTTACCTATACTTATCTTTCACTGAACTTCCTATACTTCCTATAGCGATCCGCTAACAGTCACATAGATATCAAAGAGGCAATATTAAAATGGTTAACCCAGGTCGACGCTAGAGAAGATTATTACCGAGCTCTGAAAAGACGCTCACCAGGAACTGGAGTGTGGCTGCAAGATGATCCAAGATTCCGGAGCTGAAGACGCTGCACCGAACTTGCGACTGACCGTTCGATATTGTGGATTCATGGCCGGCCAGGATCAGGCAAAACTGTGCTAAGTACTACTGCCATTGAACACCTTCAACTTGAGTTGGACGAAATGTTAGAAAGATCGGAGAACAAAACTCCCTCTGTGGCTTACTTTTATTGTGATTCCGGAGACACCAGGAAAAGATCGACGTTAGAGATCCTTGGATCGATTTTGGCGCAGTTGATTGTACCACTGCATGACTTTCCAAGCGAGGTCAACGAAGCGTATGAACGAGCGAGGAAGTATGGAAGACATCATTTATCAACTGCGGATGATATTGTATCTGTCATTAGGAATGTGGTACAAGATATTCCATCTTGTTACATTATCATTGATGGAATAGACGAATGCAGCGATCCAGCTGACCTCACAAAAACCTTTGCGGATATCGCGACAGACTGTCACAATGTTCGACTAGGTCTCTTTTCTCGCAATCTTCCTACTATTGCATTCGAGCTAGAGAAAGTTTCCTGTGCAGTAATAGAGCTGGAACCTTTCTTGGTACAACCAGATATTGACAAATTTTTAACAAAATCATTGGATAATTTACCCGGGAAAGGTACCACGGCACAAGACCAGGCTTTCTCAAAACTGTCGAATGCTTCTGGTGGTATGTTTTTATATGCAGCTCTGGGAATCCAAAGTCTAGCGAAGCAATTGATTCGCAGGGTGTGGCAGATGCCATTGAAAGAATACCAGAAGGGCTCCACGGATTTTATGGCCAGATACTCGAGAAATTAGGTTCGCAGAGTATTCGAAGACGGGATCTTGCTCGCCGAATTCTCTTGTGGGTTTGCTGTACAACAAGACCAATCTCCTGGAAAGAGCTCCAGTGCGCTTTATCGTGGGACGAGACCAAGGAGATATTTATAGAGGACCAGCGACCTTTCAAAGATGCTGTCCTCGATATATGCGCTCCTTTGATAGAGTATCGACCAGAGAAAGATACATTTCACCCTGTTCATACATCAGTTCGCGAGTTTCTAAGGAAGTCTCAAGGCTTCGAGTCCATGTCGGCGAAAGCAACCCAATTTCTTATGACTGAGTCTCACGCACACCAGGCTATTGCCGAAGTATTACTAGCTAGTCTCTCACTACCAGATGTTATACATAACACAAAGGTAGACGACCTTCACTATCCATTAGCGAGATATTCTACGGAGAACTGGTGTCATCATCTATCGTCGGCGTCATTTAAAGAGAATTTGTGCCAAAAATATGACACGTTTGCGGATTCGTCTTTAGCGCGATCGACTTGGATCCTCCGATTCCTCATTTCAAACAGGCAGTCGTTTCCTCTACAACGTATAGCAAAGTATCAGAAACAAGTCAATGATTGGAAAAATCGCAAAGAAAGCTCAACCACTACTTTCGCAGCGGAAGATTTAGCAGATATACAAAGAGCATTGATTGAATTAGATCAACTGGACCTAGGCCAAGCAGAATCCATCTCAAATTTCGAGCGCGATCTGATTGTCCGGGATCTGGCAAGAGCTTTTACAATGGCAGGAAAAGTCGATAAAGCAATTGATATGTTCGAAAAGGCTATTGCCCAAGGACCCGAAGGGCTTCAATCGTCAGAATCTGTCCGCACCACCTGGCTTCTCAATAGTCTTGGAATAATGTATGACCAAAAAAATCTCACCGATCTTGCTTTAAACACGCAGTTAAAAGCTTTATCCATCCAGGAAAAATATCTTCCTCCTAATCATCTCGATCTTGCATTAACACTAAACGAATTGGGTCGAGAAACACGACATCTTGAGAGATACTCGGAGTCCGAGAAATACCATCTCAGAGCCCTCAGTATTCTGCGTCAATCTCTTCCCGAGACGGACTTACAGATAATTTGGACACTCAATACTCTCGCTCGTTGCTACCGCTTCCAAGTTCGCTATCCCGAAGCACTTGCTCTCCATCAACTTGCACTCAACGGCCAAATCACGCTAATGGGGGAAGACCATCCTCATCCCATTCGTACGAGATCAGATATCGCCAAAGTATTGAAAGCGCAAGGAAAATTCAAAGAAGCGTTGGAAATCATGGAAGATATGTTCGTGAGAAGAGTTCGAGTACTAGGAAATGATAATCCGGATACATTGTGGACGATGAATGATATTGGGATGGCGTGGGAGGATATGGGTATGCATAGTGGGGATGTGGGGTGCCGGAAAAAGGCGATTGAGTGGCATGAGAGAGCTTGGGAGGTACAAGTGAGGGTGCTGGGGGAGGAGCATAAGCATACTATCTGGAGTCGGGGAGTTCTGGAAAGGTTGAAGGGAATGGAAAGGATGGGTGATGCTGTTGCGGCTTAATGATTTGCATGAGATACTTGAAACCCTATCTGGTTTATGTTTATGATGTATGATAAGATTTATTGCTTTCAGGTAGATTTTCTTGGTTCATTTTTCGAAATGGTGGGTTTTGTGGTGCGGGGTAGAGACATTTTTTCTTCTGGGGGAATTGGGAGACCATTAAGTTGGCAGATATATCTCGTTGCATGTAGCTAGCACCATAGTACCTTCAGGCATTACGGTATATGTAAGAAAAATGTAATGTCAGCTTTGCGAGTGGTGAAGTAATCTAGTGAATCAAGACTGTTGACTCGATTTGTAAATTCTAGTATATAATATGTACAAAATCCCAGAATATATTCAAGTCACATGTGAAAAGCAGTCAGGGAAACTTTGTTACTAGGAAATCGAGATTTGAGCTCTCATGAACCGTAAGTTCCAAATGGACACCAAGCCGGAATCCTTTATCTATATCTATCACTTTGCGAGTGGTACATCGGCCACGGCACGAAGAATTGCATCTGAATTGACAATAAACAGGTCTAATAACGGAAGTTGTTATTGACATGTTGGAATGACAACCAATAGCGAATTTGATGACATTTCAAGAATAATCCATGCATAACTGGAGAGTGTCCCAGGTTCTCCTTCTTTGAAATGTAATCTCAAAAGATATGCCCCCTCTTGGAGCTGTCAAAGCTATCTGTCTTTTCAGGATTCTAAAGAAACATCCCTCGTTTCTACAAGTCTTTTATATCAGTGCATTTCATTATCTTCCGTTCTCTTTAAGAGTACCCTGGTTTGGAATGAGATGACCAGAAGAATAGAGGCAAAGGTTTCAGTGGATACGACGCTACCGCAGGTAGGAACAGGTTTGCCAATACTCTCGATACAGAGATAATTGGATATAAAAGAGCGAGAGGCTCTCAATAGTCGAAACCGAAAACCAATCCCTTGGCTTTTCAGTAAATCAGGTGCGGAGTGGCGTAAATCCACATGGTGGGATTTTTAGAAAGATCGCCAATGTTTTCTTACTTTCTTACCTTACAAACATGAAAAGAAGATGGAGTTGAAGAATGGCAACTGGATAACAGCCGAGAGTTTTTTATGACAGTGAGAGTACACTTCCGTGACAGTGAGAAGCCTAACTTGTGAATGGACTAGCTCGCTTAACAGCAATAATTCTCAACTGCGATCGATGATTCCATTCTGGATTAAAAGCAATTGTGTATCGAAGACGAAAGTCTCAAAGCCACTGAGTTTTGGAGAAAAAAGCACTTCACAATACGTAGGTAGGAATTTTAGGACGCGAAAATGAACACACAGGTATTGAAAAGTCTTCAAGAACTGCTCCTAAGTAGTGGCTCGAAATCTTTTGTGGAACTGCTAGTAAGGATACAAACAATAACCCTCGGCATGTTTCTACACCTAACAAGAATCAATCATTCCAAAGAATACTATTCTACAACCTGAACCCAAAGACTCAGTAATCCAGCTAAATCTCAAACAACAGAGCCACGACTATGAAATAATCTGATCAAGGTTGATGCTCAAAGCAATTAACTTCGCGCCTGAGGTTTTTTTTCCTAATATAGAAATATGACATCCTATCATAGGACTTGTGAATGCCAATCTCCGAGAAGCTCCTTTGTGAGTGGCAGAAGGGTCCAGAAGACTTGAGAAACAAAGTTAAATTTTAGCAGCAGAAAATTTCGAAAGTAGAGATTGAGATAGAAGGGTTCTTGAATGTGATGTGATGACAATAATCCTGGTAGAAATCGACAACAAGCAGTAGTATAAATACTAGTTTTTTCAACACGAAAATATACATCCAGTTGAGGAACCGAAGGGATGATGGATCAAGGGAAAGAGAGGTTTGTTTTCCTTGTGCCGAGTACAAATGACCACTTTATAAAACCACATTTGGATATGGGAATGGGCTGCCACGGACCATTTATACACCAACAATTTTTTTTGGCTTGGGTATTCTCGTAGTTCGAAATTCTGTTGATCTGAGTGTGTAAAATGACAGCTTTTGATCACTGGACGACTAGTTAGTGTGAACTCCGATTTTCTTGCATTCTAAACTCACAAAATATAAGACTATAAAATCTCCTGACTTTCCCGATGACTCTTATAACATCACAATTCATCCCGAGCATCAATAAAGACAAGGAAATGCACAGAGTGAACGGGAAGTCCAACCATATCACCACGCTAAATGTGTAACAATTTTCCTAAAAGAAAATTACTTATATCTTAAGACCAGAGACGCCAGGAAAATGGAAAGGTAATGATGATAATGAGATCTGACAGCAAGCTGGCAAAAAAGAGATTAATCCTATATTAGTATCCGATGGATTCGATGATATCAACCCCCTTCAATCTACATATGAAGCACTCATCCTACAACAGAACATAACAGCTGAGGAACTCAGCGGCTGAATACTTTCACAGCTCCTTGAATTCAATCTTGAACCATTGTTCTGCTCACCTAATGTGAGATTATTACATTATTCGCACTATTTATACAATTAATTTTACAGAACTTGAACTTACTGTAATGTCGGACTCTAAGCAAAAATCCACCCTACACAAAAACCTCTATCACACCTAGCATCTTTCTCGCAGAGGAAAGGGAAAATCGATGTATAAAAAGGGATCAAGGACTGTGCCTGGCATTGGAAATATTTTAAAGACTCTTTAATTGTGTTGAGAAAAAGATGGATGGCATGATTTTGAGGTCAATTTGTATGTTGTTACTGGCTGGACTCTGACATTGGACAATGAGATGTTAACTGAAGAGTTTCGACAACAAGAATCAAAACTGATAATTCATCGACAGTGGTGAGAAAGGCAGTCCATGATAATAAGCAGATTTATGGCGACAGATGTTGCGATGTTCAAACAATCTTTAGTATCCCGGAATCAAAAGCCCAAAACATACGCTGAAGTTCCCTCCAGCATAGTCTGCTACATGACCAGCACCATCGGACAAAACATCGCCAGCGTATCGGTAAAAGTACAAAGAATCAATACAAGATGAGATACGTGCTACTTATAATTTCAAAATATTGTCTCGGAAGTAATCATAACCAAGAGCGGAGGTGAAAAGACTCAATGCACAGCTTGAGAGTCCCCACCCCCCGTATTCGATATGCCCCACTAAACTTCCACACTCCAGCTATAAAATAAAGGAGACGAAGAATTGAACTTATTATCAGGAAGAAAAGCCGATTATCTGGGATACCCCGAGGGGTAAACGGGATGAAGGTGTGTAGTTTAAGACTTTATGTTATGTTTTCTGTAGTGTTTCTAATACTGAAAAATGCTTCGTAGGGTGTAGAATCGAGAAGGAGATGAATGATGACAGCGAGTATGACGGTGGGAATGCACTTATATTGACGGTGATGAATGTCTGGGTGAGAAATCGGTGACAATATTAAGCATCGTCGACTATCTTGACTGTGCCACGTGTGAAGGTTGTCGGAGGTAATAATTTCTGCCAGTGGACTACGATCTGGCCACACTTAGTGATGAATAGAATGATCACAGCCCCTGACATGTTTGATAGATATCGACAAGCTGATTTGATGAGCTATAATTGCAAAGGGTATTGAATAAATAATTAAAAGCCATATTCAGAAAAATCAAAACCTCGCTTCCACCTTCTTCTCTACATCACCCAAAGCCCAAGCACTAGACTTCGTCTTGCTCCTCACACTTGTAGCTTGCTGTTCTGTAAACCCTTTTGCCTCGACAGCGGGATTGTAACCCAACTTATTCTTCATTCCAACTTCGGCGGAATCAACAGGAGCATTCGTTTTCCCATCGGCACGCTTATAAACAGTCACCACGACAGCCCCGCCCAATCCAAGATTGTGCTGTAAAGCTACTCTTGTATCATCAACCAATCGGTTATTTGCCCATCCACGAAGATGCCAGACGAGCTCAGCGCACTGTGCAATTCCCGAGGCTCCAAGTGGATGACCCTTTGAGATCAATCCGCCGGAAGGGTTGATGACCATCTTGCCGCCATATGTGATATCACCCGCTCTGACCATCTCATGAGCTTTTCCCGGTGGAGAAAGACCCATCGAGTCGATAACGATCATCTCATTGGCCGAGAAGCAATCATGCAACTCGCAGACCTTGATGTCTGCAGGTGTGACCTTTGCCTCCTCCATAGCAGTCTTTGCTGCAAATTTTGTCATCTCGAAACCCATAAGGTCGATTGCGGATTTGGAGAATAGTGATGGAGCATCAGTAGCCATACATTGACCGGCAATCAATACCGCTTGTTCTTTGAGATGTGGGCGGGCATCGAGGAAGTCTTGTGAAACTAGAACAGCTGCGGCTCCTCCATCTGATGTAGGACAGCATTGCAATTTTGTGAGAGGCTCATGGATCATAGGAGCTTTCATGACTTGCTCTAGAGTATATACATCTTGGAATTGAGAGTATGGGTTTCGTTGCGAATGTTCGTGGTTCACTCTGGCAATCTCCGCGAAATCTTCATTTTTGGCACCATACCTATTTGCAACGAAAAGTTAGCTTTTGCTACGCCATCCAACACGAGATTTGATAGGCATACTTTTCCATATATTCTCGCCCTGCATTGCCAAACATCTGCGCAGCCCCGGGTGCATTCGTAACGCCTCTAGTGGCACGCATCATTTCACCTGATGTGCCAGTCGGGTTACTACGATCATTCCAGAAACTCTGTAGCGAACCCGGATTCATCTTTTCGAATCCTACCACCAATATACAGTCTGCACCTCCATGACTAATGACATTTCTTGCCAATGCCAATCCTGTTGAGCCCGTTGAACAATTGTTGTTTACGTTGTAGATTGGGATCTGGGTCATTCCGAACTGATAAAAGACACGTTGTCCACAGGTTGAGTCGCCATAACAATAACACGCTACTCCTTGATCGACGTCGTCGTAATTGATTTGTGCATCAAGCATAGCCTTGATACCAGCTTCGAAACCAAGCTCAGTGTAATCGACTTTACCCC